GTTGGCGTCGCCTCATGCCTCTGCCACAGTGGGTTCCAGCTGTACCTAAGCCCAGAGCAAACCCTTGCCCCACTGTCTGCCCAGTCCTGCCTCTGCCCTGAGCAACGCCCGCCCCTGTGGGCGTTCACACAGACAGCGCACCCACTGAGGCTGCCGAGGGTTGGGAAGAGGTAAGGGCAGGCCGGGAGTATAGGGGATTGGGGGAGCAGTGCTGTTTGCATTTCGTGCTCATAGTGGAGAGTGTGCACTGCGGGTGTCAGAGAGGACGACGACGTTATAGTGCCACTGACTAGGACGTCAAAACCGTTGAATTACACCTCTGCTTTCTGTGTCCTCAAGAAAGTACCTCGCATCTTAAAGTTTAATTTCTCTACCCATAAAAAGTTATTGAACACCAACTTTGTGTCAGTCATTAACTTTGGGTTATCCAGAAATCATGTTAAACAGTTCTCGTAAGCCAACTGTCTCTGGTCACAGGCGTGAAACTTTCAGAACTTTACAAACTGTCAAACTGAAGTTAAAGTTCAGTTTATTTAATATTTTATTTAATGTTCATAAAGTCCATTTAATACTTTTTTTTTGAGACAGTCTCACTCTGTTTCCCGGGCTAGAGTGCCATGGTGTCAGCCCAGCTCACAGCAACCTCAAACTCCTGGGCTCAAGCGATCCTTCTGCCTCAGCCTCCCGAGTAGCTGGGACTACAGGCATGCGCCACCATGCCTGGCTAATTTTGTCTATATATTTTTAGTGGTCCAGCTAGTTTCTTTCTATTTTTTTAGTAGAGACGGAGTCTTGCTCTTGCTCAGGCTGGTTTCAGACTCCTGAGCTCAAACGATCTGCCCAGCTCGGCCTCCCAGAATGCTAGGATTACAGGCACAGGCGTGGGCCACCATGCCTGGCTCATTTAATACTTTATCACTGTATCTTTTTTAAATGTGTTAAATGGAAATGTTTTTAAATTTATTATTTATAAGATCATCGTTATTCAATTTATTCATCCAATAAATATGTATCGAGCAGCCTCTACACCTGAGGCTTGGTACCAGTGAGATGTCTGCACCAGGCACCTTTACAATAGGGTGTTATAGGTGCTATGATCCAAGGGTACTGGGGCTGGGATGAGGGATGCCTAATCTAATCTTGCATAGTGAAGAAGGCTTCCTGGAAGAAGTGACATCTACAGTGAAACCTAACACTCATTCATTAACTAGACCAAGATGAGTCGGGAGAGAAATAGTGGAAGAAAAGTATTCCTAGTAGGAGAAAAACTAATTCTTTATAAAGACCAGGAGGCAAAGGAGAGCTCTGCTGGTTCTTTCAAGCTTTGAAAAGAATTGTGATATGATCGTTAACTGCAGTATGAGATGGTGAATAAGAGATGACACTGAAGAAATGAACAGAGAATGGATTATGAAGGGCTTAATACAGCAGCAAAGACTTTCTATGTTCACATCTTTAACATAATGGTAATAGCAAGCAGGGAGCTCATCATTTGATTGATTAATTAATCCTTACAACTCCCAGAAGACAAGTGAGGTTCGATTATAACAAGTTATTATTTTCCATCTTTAATACCCTGAAATTAAGTCTTCAAAACTAGAGAGCACAGATACCATTTTAAAGGACTTTTTCTTTTGCTTTCTTTTCTTTTCTTTTTTCTTTCTGTCCTTCTGTCTTTCCGGAGTGCAGCAGGAAATCATAGAAGTGAAGATTGAAGAGGAGGACGCATTTTGAACAAGTTTAGAAATCCTCTGACTAACCACTCTGGCATCTTAAAAGATCTAGAAATTAACAGTTTCCTCCAGGGTGGAGTCAAGAATACAAGCTGGAGCAGGTTTTTACCCTTTGGGAAGGGGGTGGGGGACCAGGTTGGAAACCTATTTCAAACACAGGTTCTCACCATCTAGTTTTTAAAGCATTGCTTTGGATAATGAAATCAAAGTGAATAACCAATTGCAGGTTCGACTGGCCTATGATTAGAATGTGATATCTTTGCCTCACAGTCTAAAGCGCACGTTATCTATGACTAGACATCAGATGAATGTACCTACAGAGTGAACTTTCCTGAAGAGAAATTTCCTGTTGCAATCAGTCAGTGACTAGACCACAGAATTAGTCATGTTGTTTAATTTGTTTAAACATATTATTAACAAGATTAAAAGCTTTCCAAAAGCTGGGATTGAAGGTACAGGGTCATTAGCACTAAACACCTACACCCCCCCCCAAATGAAGGGGTGATTTGTGAAATTAATACTCTAATAGTCAGTCTCTTGACAGTATAAAAGATAACTGTAGCTTAGTTTCACTTAGTTTATTAGTGAATAGAGAAAGAAACAAATAGATTGTGGCAAAAAAGCTTGGATCACACCTTGCCCTGACCAGCCCTCCCCAAAGGGCTTTCAGAGATAAAGAAAGTGCAGAAAGGGGAAGTGTCCATCTGAGTTACTAGAGGCTCTGTCCCAAACCATGATGTGGTCCCTTGCTGCGCTGAGCTAGGTTAGAGGCAGGCCTTCCTGCCCATTCCCCCTTGAAAAACAAGCTGGCCTTTCCTTGCCCTCTTTCCTTACTACTCTAATGGTGATGAAAGAGCAGTCCAAAGAATACAGTCACTGACTCCACTTCCCCCTCTCCTCGATTTCTCCTTAACACATCTATAATCCATGCTTCCGTCCCTTCCCCAGCATAGAAGCCAGTCTGGCCAAGGTCACCAGCATTTTCCATGTTGCCAAATGTAATGGACACTTTTGAGTCTTCATATAACTTAACCTTTCAACAACAGTTGACCTTTCAACACACTTAGCCACTCCCTGGTTTTTGAAATATTTCCTTCTCTTGACTTCTATGTTTACAAAGAACCATGCTATTGCACTCATTTGTTTTTCTTCCCACCTCACTGGCCACTCCTTCTAAGTCTCCTTTGCTGGCTCCTCCTCTGTTCAACCTCTGAACGTGGATGTGTCCCAGAGATCAATTTCAGGGCCGTTTTCTTCTCTGTCTATACCTTCCTCCCAGGGACTCTCATTCAGTCTCATGGCTTCCAATTGTGTGCTGATGACATCTGTATTTATATTTCCAACCCTGACCCTTCCCTTATACTCCATTGTCATATATTCATCTGCATACTTGACATCTCCACTTAGTCACTAATATGTATATTAAATTTGATATATCCTAAATAGATTTCCTCCACAACCTGTTTCCCAGTTTCCCCACACCAATAATAAGCATCGATATTCACACAGTAGCTCAAGTCAAAGACCTAAAACGAGCCCCCTTTTTTCCTCAACCCCCATATCCAATCCATTAGCAATATCAAATCTATCCACTTTACCTCTGAAGTGTATCTGTCCACCTGTGGCCCTCTCTACTTCCACCTTAGTGTAAATCACCATGATCTCTTACCTGGACCACTGCGCCCATCTCCTGACTGGTCTTCCTGCTTCCACCATTGCCTCTCCTGTACAACCCATGCTCAACATGGCAGAACAAATGATTTTTTACAAGCATAAATCAGATCATGTCAGTTGTCGGCTTAACATTTACTAATGGCTTCACATACCACCCAAGAGGTATCTGAAATTCTTGCAGACACACTAAAATCTTCAAGTTCCTTTGTGATCTGTCCTCTGCCTGCTTCTCTGATCTCTTGTCATACCACTCTCCATTCTCTTATACTCCAGCCCATCGTCCTTTATATTCCCCAGACCTGTCCAGCCCAGGAGACCCAGCACAGCTGTTCCCTTTGCCTGTGACGCTCCCTCTCATTCAGTGTCATCTCCCCTGTGAGGCCGTCCCTACCACTCAAACTAAAGAAGTTTCCAAGCCACTCTCCATCACTTCAACCTGTTTTATATTCTTCATTGCACAATTCACCACCTAACATTGTCTCTTTACTTGTTCATCGGTTTACTAGCTGCCTCTACCCTAGACTTTAAGCCTCATACAAGCAGGGACCTGGTCTTGTTCACTGCTTTACTCCCAGTACTTAAGTGCCTGGCACATGGCAGATGCTTAATAAAGTATTATTGAGGGAGTGCTTTATCCCTGTATCTAAACGCTAACACTTTAAGATAATACCTGCTATGAGCCAAAAACTGCTATTGAAACTTTATACGTTGCCTTTCATTTTAAACCCCAGAGCAACCCTGGAGCTAGGAGCTATTATTTCTATATTTCACAGATAGTTTACAGAGGTCACACACCCAGTAAGTAGCAGAGCTGGGATTTCAACCCAGGCAGCCTAGCCCCAAAGTCCAGACTCTTAAACACCAGATTGCACTGCTTGGTTTGAGCTGCCTACCTCTGGGATTCCTGGGTTAGGAAAAGATTCTCAGGCCGGTCAACCCCAGCGCTCCTGAGGGAGAGAAAATCTCAAGGGGAAAACAGAAAGAGCTTGAGACTATAGTGAAGAAAGAACAAGCAATCCTGGGCTTAGACCTCCTGGCTTTACTTGTCTTGGTGGAAGGCTCCCACCACTCCGACTGTGCTTTAATAAAACATCCTGAGAGTATATGAGTGGGTGTGTCCCCCCCACACCATATCACACCCCCAGTGAGCAGAGGAGGAAAAGACCACAAGGGCCAATGTTGCCCTGATTTTTGTTTAGTCACCACAGTGGTCAGTCGGAGGGGAGGCGATGAATACAATACAAGGAGAGCCCTGTCTATGCCTCCAAGAGGCTGCTGCCTACCTGTACCTTTAACTCATGGGTATCCCCCAGGACCAACGACTTGGGTGGGTTTTAGTCCATTTGGGCTGCTATAAAAAAATTCCATAAACTGGGTGGCTTATAAACAACAGAAATCTATTTCTCAGAGTTCTGGAGGATGGGAAGTCCAATAACAAGGTGTCAGTTGAGAGCCGGCTTCCTCATAGACGGCACCTTCCCCCTGTGTCCTTACATGGCAGGAGAGATGACCCAGCTCCCCTGGGCCTCTTTTGTAAGGGCACTAATCCCACTCATGAGAGCCCCACCATTGTGACCTCATCACCTCCCAATAGCCCTATTTCCTAAATGGTGATTAGATTTCAAGATATGAATTTTGGGGGTATACAAGCATTCAGATCATAACAGGGGAATCAGCCTCTGGAGTCTTGTTATATCTCTCTAGCCACAGTGCTCAGAGGGCCTTTCTCATCCTTCCTGGGATCTGGGATCCCGTGTCAGCTGGGATTATAGTTTATTCTCTGAGCTCTTCTCTCTGCCTCTGTTAACCACATAGGCTCCAGTCCCTAGCCCTGACCATGGAACATTAAACACCTCTGCTCTTTCCACTCCCCATCGTGAAAAGCAGTTAGACGCAGGTGTACACCTTTCCCTTTTCACAGGCCTCTACCCTGACCTCTAAATCTCAAGCCACCACCTCTCTGGATCCGTTTTTCTTTCAGCTTCTGTGATCCTGTCTAAAGCTAAGACTGTTTCCTGGGCAACAGCTCTCCCAATTTGTAACACCCTGAGTTGCTCTGCTGGCCAACCAGATGTCCCGCTGTTTCTGTACCAACATGATGAGACAAGGCCTTTCAGGTACAGAGGGTTTTTTTTAAGCAATGTTGTTGATGTTTAAATTTTGGATGATCTAATTTAGTCTTGCCTTTGCCAACGAAGAAATGGCTTCTGCTATGTGGCAGGTGAACCGATTCCTTTGTATCTATTCACTGATGGACTTCATCACTCTGGGACCCTGAAATCCACAGCCACAACCGTGTCTAACATCTGTGGGGACCTCCACAAGTCCTGCTGTCAAACCACGCAGACCACCATGACCAGCCTTCGCTTACCTCTCTATCTTCCCACAAAATTACAGAGAGCAGAGGTCTGTCGCTAGAAACAACCTGGGAGCCCACGGTAGGGAGGTAAGAGACACAGTTGATTGGCCACAGGTATTGTCACAGTTGGAATACTGCCCTGGTTCCTTATTCATTTCTAGATTGGCTCTAAGAAGTTGGCAAAGATGGGAAAACAATAAGAAGTATTTATAAAGAGGAGCGTGATCTGGGGCAACCAATCTAGAAGCATATGGTGCTAACAATTAAAAAGCCAGAATTCTCACATAGGATGACCCTACTTATCTGAGGGTAGCCTAGAGTGACCATGTTGAATTTCATGACTATTTTGTTGTTGTTGTTGTTGTTATTTCTTCTTTATTCGCCGTGCTCTTTCTGAATACCATCTTCACCAGTATCACGGATGATCAGCAGTAGGTAAAGTGTAAGCAAGACAGACAGACCTAGAGAAAGGAAAAAGAATGACTAGAGAACAGAATTTTAATTATGTCCATGACATAACATTATTTCCCATGCCATCTTCCAGGGGGATGGTTCTAGGCATAAATATGTACTCCCATGATATTCCCCTATTCCTTCAGGGACCCACCATTGCCTATAGAATTAAGTTCAAGCTCTTCCATGTGGTATCCAAGACGCTCAATGATTTAACTTCACCCATGCTCAGTTTTTAGATTATTATTCACTCAACATGGTCCTCAGACTCAGAGAAATCCATCTCAGAGGGATGCCATGTGCCAGGAAAATCAGGGTTGAACTAAGTGGCTTCAGTCTATAGACGGGTATTTGGAGATCAGCTCATTTAGTCCTCGTAAATATTCTCTACACAGGCCACACTTCCCTTTGTCCCATCCTCCTGGGTGTTAGAGTTAGGAGCTTGAACTTTATTTATATCTAGTTTAGAAGTGTTTAAACACTCTTAAAGATTTTTCATCTTTGTCAACCATAATGCATAAATATAATATTTTCCAATATAATTTCAAAGTTTAATTGAAGTATTTATAATTTAGTTTGGCAGATGCTCTGTAAAGATCATAGAGCTGTTCTTAATTTGTACATGAATTTATAAGTGGCTTTACCATTTGTTGGAAGAAACATAGAAACAATCTGTCTTAATTTCATTTTACTACATTTTCTATTCTCAGTTTGACTTCTATAAGACCCAATTGAATTCTATACATTGATCCAATTAAATTAACTTAAATAATAGGTGCAGTCAACCAACAGGTGTTTGTTATTAATATATAACTATCTCTAATTTTAAGATTTATCAAAATGATTTAAAGGCTTTCTTTAATAAATACAACAATTTTATACAACAAATAATTTCACACCACTAATCCAGGAATGAAGATCCAAAAGATGATGATGGAATTTGATTTGGACTTTCACACTCAAATTCCTTGAGAGGAATATTCCAAGGTTCATCTCAACAGACACCCTCAGAAAGAATTTAATAAAATTCAACACCTATTTACCATAAAAACTATGCATAGGTTAGGAAAAGAGGGAAACTTCTCCAAGTTGGAAAAGGATATGAATCAGAACCAATAGCAAATATCATACTTAACATTCCACTTAACCACTTAATTCTCCACTAAAGCTGGGGAGACAAGACAAATGCCTTCTATTACTGCTACAGATTTTTTTTTTTTTATAAGTAGCAATAACAGCAAGCAGTTGTACTTTTAAGAAATGATATTTAGGCCAGGCGTGGTGGCTCACACCTGTAATCCTAGCACTCTGGGAGGCCGAGGCGGGTGGATTGCTCAAGGTCAGGAGTTCAAAACCAGCCTGAGCAAGAGCGAGACCCCATCTCTACTATAAATAGATACAAATTAATTGGCCAACTAATATATATAGAAAAAATTAGCTGGGCCTGGTGGCACATGCCTGTAGTCCCAGCTACTCAGGAGGCTGAGGCAGCAGGATTGCTTGAGCCCAGGAGTTTGAGATTGCTGTGAGCTAGGCTGATGCCACGGCACTCACTCTAGCCTGGGCAACAGAGTGAGACTCTGTCTCAAAAAAAAAAAAAGAAAAAGAAATGATATTTATTACAGTAAGATAAAATAGAAAATGCCCAGGTTAAATAGAAATATTATAAGACCTACATGAAGAAAATTATAAAACTTAGCCAAAGGGCATTCAAGAAGATATAAATATATCTCATTCTTAAATAGAAATATTAATATTTAATGTTATACATATATCAATTCTCCCCAAATTGAGCTATAAAATCAATGCAATTCCTAAATCTCCGATTACATCCATCCATATCCATTAACATGGAAGATGTCCCTAATATATTTAAAAACAAGTTATAAATTAGTTTGACATATTTAAAAAAATTTTTTTTTATTTCAGCATATTACAGGATACAAATGTTTAGGTTCTGTATATTGCCTTTGCCCCACCAGAGTTTAAAACAAATACCAAAAATCTGTGTGTGTTCATATATAAATGTATATAAAAAGGTTTGAAAGACTGCATAGTAAACTATTAGCAGAGTTTTATTAACTGAAGAAAAAATTCTAATATCTATATCAATAGAATCAATCAATGTAACCAAGTCTACATATCTATATATAATCTGTATAATTATATGTGGCACATCATATAAATTGTCAATGTAACCAAATATTAATTCATCCAAAAAATCATGTACCAAAAATGTATATTTATCCAAAATTGATTTCATAATATATAGTAAATATAAAGGTGCTTTTTGAGAATTTTTTTACATTTCAAGTTTTCTACTTTTGAATATTTTGAGGATTATTTAGCTAATTTATTTAATACATTTTAGGCAAACAATTAAGTTTTAGGCTGCTAACTGGGAAAAGGATCACCACTTTTCATGATGTTAAAAACAATCAGAGCATTTCACACTTCTTGGTCATCTCATTTATGGTGTTGTGTTGTATTTTGTTTTGTTTTAACATGATGACAGGAAACAGAACTGAGTATAAATTAGGTCATTTTCTCTGATAAATTATAGGTAAACAATTCATTTTTAAGTTTTTTTCCAGCTTTAATTGACAAATAAAAATTGTATATATTTAAGGTGTACAATGTGATCATTTGATATATGTATACATTGTAAAATGATTACCACAATCAAATTAATTAACACATCCATCACTACATAGTTATTTTGTATGTTTGGGGTATGAGAAAGCCTAAGATCTACTCTTTTACCAAAGTGTAAGTAAACAGTACAGTGTTATTAACTATAGTCACCATGATGTACATTGGAACTTCAGAACTTATTCATCTTATAACTGAAAGTTTGTTTGCTTTAACAAACATCTCCTCATTTTCCCCACCTCCACAGCCCCTGGAAACTATCTCTCTACTCTGCTTCTATGAATTCAACATATTTTTAGATTCCACATGTAAGTGAGTTTATATGATACTTGTCTTTCTGTGTCTGGTTTACATCACTCATAATATTGTCTGCCAAGTTCATCCATATTGTCACAAATGGCAGGATTTCCTTTTTATGGCTGAATAATATTCCATTGCATATATACGTGATATGTGGAGATATATATATATATATATTTCTTTATCCATTTATCTGTTGATGAACACTTAGGTTGTTTCCATATCTTGGCTATTGTGAATAATGCTGCAATGAACATGAGAGATACTGATATGATTTCTTTTGCATATATACCCAGAAGTGTGATTGATGGATCATATGATAGTTCCAGTTTTAGTTTTTTGAGGAACCTCCATACTCTTTTCCATAATAGTGGTACCAATTTATATTCCCACCAACATTATACAAGGGTTTCCCTTTGCTCCACATCCTCACTGACACTTATTATCTCTTGTCTTTTTGATAATAGCCATCCTGACAAGTGCGAGGTGACATCTCCTTGCAGTTGGTTTGCATTTCCCTGCTGATTAGTGACATCAGGCACCTTTTCATATACGTGAACATTTAGAATCATACTTCATACTATATACAGAAGAGAGAAATCAAACTTACCATACACAGAAATAAATTCTGATAGTTTAGGGAGTTGAACATGTTGAATGAAAATAATCAATTTTGGAATTGCTTCCTACCAAGGAACTACTTTTTACAGCAAAAGAAGTGGTACAACGGGTTCATGCCCATGGTATACGCTGACACTAAGTCCCCATTGCCTAGCAGCCCCGTGGAAAATGCCGAAATGGTACAAGGTTAGAGTGCTTTCCTATAGGATGAAGTGTATTCTTTGAGCTAGTGACCAAAGTGACCAATGTATGGTGGTGTTTCTCCCACAGCCAGAATACCAGGCCCAGGAATGAAGGTGTGGAATGGAAGTCACCCCTGTCACTGGCAAATATTTGCCCTCATCCCTGCAACTTTAGGCTCTGCTGGTCTAAGGTCATAGTTCTCAGGGCAGTAGTACTTCCTTCAAAGCCTACAACGATGCTTCTTCTACTGCCTTGGAAGTTGAGGCTGTCACCTGGCCATTTTGAGCTCCACTGAATTAACATGTAATGAAGAAATGAATAATGTGAGGTGCCTCCTTTATTTTAAACCCACTAAGAGAGTAGCAGCTATCTTTAAAAGTTCAACAGTAAGAGAAAATCAAATCCCAAGAGAGATGGTTTAAAATTTAAAGCAATTTAAATAAAACCCCTATAGGCCTAAAGAAACAGATCGCTCCAATTTAATCTGTGAATAGTGTTGCCAGAGAAAAGGAGAAAAAAAATTATGATAGAAAGCACACTGGTAGATATCACTGAAAACAATTTCTCCTAAGTTAAAAACAACAAATCATTCTTGAGTGGAGGACTATTTGGATTCCTACTTGTCAGATTCTTGAACTGTAAAGATGTGGGATATTTAATGGAAAAGGCTGAAGAGAAGAGAGAGCTATCCTTTAAAGATTCTAAGACTAAAAGATTTTTAAACTTCTATAAGAGAGAGAACATAACCAAGCCATAAGGATAACATTATCACAGATCTCTTAAAAATACTTGATTCTCACTTCAAATACATTACAATGCCATTCCACTGGTTTTTTTGGATATTACCTGTTTTGTTTTGGTTATTGTTCGTTTGTGTTTAAGGCAGAAGAGTCTTTTGCAAACATAGAACTTGAAAGAATATTTCAATATTTCAATACACTCTACATCTACCAAAAAGCTACAAAAGACCGGGGCCGTAGAGGGGTACAATAAATTTAAGTGATTTCAATGACTCTCACAGCAAAGGTAGTTAAGTACCTTAAGTAAAGTTTT